TATATTTAATATGATCTCTACCAAAATACCTGCAATATTTCCCAAAGAAACTGAACAAAAAATTTGGAAATTTATGACCTAAGAGAAATGGAGGTATCACATAACTTTACTACAAAGCAATATGGTATTGGCACAAAAACAGGTACATGTCAGTGGAACTATGATAAGCAGCTAGAACCATACCCTGGAGAAAGGACAGTCTTATCAGTAAATGGTGCTGGGAAAAGCCACACATGAAAGGATGAAGTTGGATCTCTCCCTAGTTCCAGATACCCTATCTGATGGGTGAAAATATGCACACAATATATTAGTAGCTGGTAAGGGGTTGATATTTTTTTATTGAAATGTGTGGTTTTCAAAAATATATGTTAGAGGATAGGATATCTATGAGGCCAACTGGCATATGAAAAAGTATCCTTCACTGCTTTATAATGAGAGATACAAAATAAGACTACCTCACAGCCATGAAATGGCAAATATTAAAAATACCTTGACCCAGCAATCCCACTCCTGGCATCTATCCAAAGAACATGAAACCATTAGAACAAAAATCTGTGTTCCACAGTATCATTATTTATAATAGGTAATACATGGAGACTCCCAAATGTACACCAAAAGAAGATTGGATCAACGGCACATCTATTCTATGGAATACTATGCAGCCATAAGAAGAAAAAACTAAATGCAACTCTCTTCAGCAAAATGGAGGGAGTTTGGGGGAACTGTGTGTAGTAATCCAAGTCAAAACAATGAAAACAAATACTGAACATTGGTAAACACTGAGTGCTCTGTAGTTAAGAGGAAGTGGGAAGGGAAAGGACAAGGGGATTTAAGCAATGGTGGTGGGGGTTGAGGAGAAGAAACAGTAAACACTTCTAGAGAAGTGAGTTAGAGAAGATCAAATCTTGAATATCAACAGCCCTTGAGTAGAGGAGGCTAAACATGCATACAGGTAGGGAAAGGATCAACCAGAGATGTTGCAGGCTGTCACAAAATCCAAGGGCATTTTAAGAAGAGAAAACTCAACAGGGCCAAATTAATTACTATAGTCTGATATAACAATCCCACTTCTGGGTATTTATCCAAAGCCAATGAAGCCAATGAAAACAGTAAGTCCAAAAGACTATATACAAAACCATGTTTACTGACTAAAGATTAGAAACATTTAAGTGTATCACAACTGGATAAAGAAAATGTGGTGAATATACTCAATGAAGTAGTATTCAGCCATAAAAAAGGAAATCCTGCTGGTTTTGACAACATGCATAAGTAAACTTGGGAGCATCATGCTAAATAAATCAGAGAAAGACAAACATGAATGGAAAAAAAGGTCATCTGTACAGAGAGAATAAATCAATAGTTACTAAAGGGAGAGGTGTGGAGTTGGCAAAATGGGTCAAAGATACAAGCTTGCACATATAAGTTAGGTCCTGGGGATGTGATGTATAGTATGTGTTGCATATTTGAAAGTTGCTAAGAGTAGATCTTAAAAGTTCTCATCACAAGAAAAAAATTGTAGCAAGTGTGTGACAGATGTTATAACTCCTTTAAAAAAAAAAAAAAATAGGGCCCTCCCTGGTGGCGCAGCAGGTTAAAGCACAGCACTGTGAAGCTAAAGCCACTTCTGCATGAGTTCGATTCCCGGAGGTGACCACATGGCGTGGCAGACCTCTCCTGACCCACCTGCTGCTCCCCTCAGCAGTGTACTTCGTCGATCTGCCTGCTCTGTCTCTGGTGTGTACCCCAGTTCCATATGAATAAATAAATAAATCTTTAAAAAAAAAAATATTGTCTGCTTGTTTCTAGTGGACGCATAAAAACCACCCAAAGAACAGTGAAAGAAGAAAGTATGTTTTTCTTTACAGAAAATGACTGTCATGTGAGCCACTGTCCAATTTCCTTGAGACTAATTTTCCTAAGCCCATTGCTGGCTTATTTCACAGCACACAATGCTATGGTGGTGATGTTTCTACCAAGGACAGAACAAGAAGGCACAGTCTTCCTCTGAAAGAGGTAGAACTCCCTTACCCTAAGACACTGCCTGGGACACTGAGGCAGGGCGTAATCCCCTGCACTAGGGATTCCTGTGCCAGGGAATGAGCCTTCTGACTGCCAGGACCCTGACTCAGACCACTTTACCGCACCAACTGCAAACAGCCTATACTCAAAGCTGCAGGAGAAGCAGCTCATGGGTCCACTACTGTTGTGTGGTCTCAGAGAAAACTAGATCTGCTAGCTGGTTGCCTTAAGCAAGTTCCTCTATGTGATGCCATTCCATTTCTTAGAGAAAGAGGGACATTACTGGCATCCAGAGAGTCAGCCAGCCTACAGTGCTTCCAAGAGAAGGAAGGAGGCCGACTCCATGGGGCACTCTGCTGCCAGTTCAAGAAGTTCCAGAAGGTGTTGCTGAGAGATGGAGGAGGGCACAGGAGTCGTTCACTCTAGAAAGGTCACCTCAGAAGCATGTCCTGAATACACTTACAATGATTCATTCATGCCTCTAGTGTTTCTGGTCAGGTTGGACAAACCAGCTACAGAAGCCAGACACAGTACCCCTGCCCCGGAAGAGCCAGAAACAAACTTCATCTTCGCATATGTGAGTTTCTTTAGGTCACACAGACACCATGTCAGAAGCTGACATCTCTGCCTCCAGGCAGCACTGGAGATTACCCGCAACACGCGCGTCCCCTAAGACCATCACCCTCCAGTCCCATCCCGGATCCTGCCATCATTACCACCCAGTACTGTGCCCACTGGAGTGCCCCTGCCCGCATATGGGGCACCCCTGTGGTGAAAAAGACCAGAATTTAGGATTTATCTGCACACCCGCCTGCATGATTCAGTAAAAAATAAGAAGGCGCTCACTTAAACAAGTACAGTAATGAAAATTTCTGCACAGCTACCAGTATTCATCCTCTGGCAGCTGTACCTGATTTTGAGTCAGTTTAACTCTCCTCTGGCCTGACAGTGGAAGACTCAGATATCCCCCGCAGTTCCTTGCATGGGATCCTAGCCTTGTGCTTCTCATGAAGCAGCACCACAGAGGTTTCCTCCTTCATGCTGATTTAGACCGAGCACATGCTCCCAAATAAGACTCTGAAGACGGAAATTAGAGAGTAAGAAAGTTTTGTCAGGCACCAGGGAAACTGGCCTTTGGGGAAAATAAGAGAAATTTTAACTGATAAGCATAGGCTCTGCTGGAAGCAACTTCATAATTTAGTATTTTCTTCTCTAACGAGCATCAGGATGTATTTTTTTTCTTTTATTTAGCCAAACTCAAGTGATAGAGAAGTTGCTTTGTCACAGCACCCAACCATGACACCCCTCAGGCACACCTGGCCTTCTCAGGTAGCTGTGTGGGGGAGCCAAGCCACTAAGCAGAGTCAGAGTAGTGCAGACTCTGGGGCTGCCCTGATAGACCCCTTTTGCTCCCACTTTGGTTCATGCCCTACTGCTCAGGCTGCTTCCGTGCCTTTCTGTCCTCCTCTGCGATTCCCTCCAGTTGGCAAATACCCCTTCCACTTCCAAGATTTTGTCTACGCATGACTTCCCAGGGCAAGCTTTTCTTATGCTGCCTCCTTTGTGCCCAAAAACATGCTCCATATATTGCTGTTCACATTCTCATCACGGCTCATTTTCTCACACTTGAATGTTGTATCGTTAATTATTAGGGGTTAAGACCATGTCTATTCAAAAATAACTTTAACATCCACGGACACACAGAATTTAGTAATGCAACATGTGGTGGAAAACAGCACTATGTCAGCACACCTCGAGTAGCATTCATAGCGTAAACATATCACTTAAGAGACTTCATAAAAGATCAATTAATGTTGACTCAGTCAGTCTCAGTGTCTAAAGAATTAAGAAGTGCCTGAAAATAGATGAGTAAAGATCTTTTGCTATAGAAGAAACAGTACTAAACACAGCCCCAGAAGGAGGATAAATAAAGACATCAGTTTCTCACCCCCGGGGTCAAGGTCACCTTGCTCTATAGGGCACTAAACTCCATTTGCACTGTGGGCTTCCATTGCTGAATTTCTTGTTCTTGGACTCTAACCAAACCAAGGCTTGCTGTCCCCCATGAGCCCACTCTTGACAAGTGATGGTCTCACTCCCCAACACAGGCTCTTTCCCCCAGACATCCGCTAGGAGCACCTCAAAGACCCACCCGTAGGGCCCCCTGCATGGAAGCACCTTTGCTCCTGCCGGGCAGCGTGGTCTCTCCCTCAGAGCCCTGGATTGTACCTGTCCTCGTATTCCCTTGTCTGAGTCATTCTTTTTGTCTTCCATCCTTTGGATGAACTAGAGTTCCACTGTAGCAGGTACTCAGTACTATATATGATATCAAACTAAAAATCCCTATGCAGCTGTGGTTTCGGTTTCTGTTTAACAGAGGGCCAGTGTGTGTCTCAGACTGCTAGTTTCCAGGAAATGTCGCCTTAACTTCGGCCAGAGCCCCTTCTTAGCTAGGGATGCATAGATTAGGTGATCCTTTGCTAACCAGAGCTAGACATCTGCCCTCCAAGTCCATTACTTAATTGAAAATGTGTGTGGTAAAGTAGGCTTGGGCGCTAAGCTGAACCAAAGGGAGAATCAGCAGCAGACCCAGGAGGAAATGTGAACTGGAAGACAGTCCAGTTCTTTTGGCATGTAACAGTCATCCTTATTTCCTCTGTCATGCTCAGCCTGACCCTCATTCCTGTTGCTAATCTGATGAACCCCTCTGTCCTGGAAGTATTATTCCCAGCTGTGCCAAGGGGCCATCTCTCCCTCTACACGCAGTGATGTTGTCAACTGAGAAGTTTGGGAATCTGTATTCCCTGAACTCTGTTGCCTGTGTCTTTGGTTTAGGTTTTCTGCTAACATATTGTCACAACATCGCTGGAAGTTTCCAGTTGTTGGCAAGCGAGTTTCGTGATGCATTATCAGTGAGTCCACACCTCCAGGTAGCCCCCCAAGTCCTGCACTAACACGCTGTGTGCTCTCTTCCCCTACAGGCACAAAGGGTATACCAGAAGTTTCCTAAACCCAGCAGAGGGCCCCACTCCTCAGGGAAGAAGCCTCATTCCATGCCTTCTCCAGGTGCCGTCACACTGAGCAACACTCCCAGCAGCGTCCAGACAGGCCTGCCTACTGGGCAGCAGCAGGAAGTCGCCCGACAAGCCAGCACCTCTCCCAGCCTTCCCTGGTCTTTCCAGAGAAGCAAGTCCTTGTTTTGTTTGCCTACAGGAGATCCTTCCTCCGCTGCACCACAGTGGTTTTCAAACACAGGGCACAGGGAGTCAGAGTCGGGGCACAGCCACCCCCTCTCCATCGATGATTTAGAGGGAGCCCAGGAGACGGATGTAGACACAGGCCTGCGGCTATCTGCCTCAGACCTCTCTGTGGTCTCTGCATATTCTGCCCCCAGTAGGTTCTGCAGCACCATGGAAGCACCCCTGCCCACCGAAAGATGCACCAGCCTCTCATCAAAGCACAGGGATTCTAGGGAAGGCCCTCTGCCCGCTGGGAGCAGGGTGAGCACAGAGTCCTCCTGGGCCACCCTGCCTTTCTTCACCAAAGGACCTTCCAGCTCTTTGGCAACAACTGCTGTTGATTCCAGCACCTCTTCACTGACAGAGACACCCCCAGCACTCCCTTACCATTCTCCCAAAGCTGAGCAGACTGGCAGAGACATCCTACCAGCTCTCGTGTTGTCTGGATCTGGGGACAATGACATGGAAGAATTCTACATCTGAACACTCACTGCTCTTCTCAAACTCACAGGCTCAGGGCTCATTGCCCACTGCGGCCTGATGCCACCATGTCTTCTTCCCCACTTTCCCAGGTCTTCCTGGAATCTACTGTCTGTCTCATGGCTTTTGTTAGTATATCTGCCAGTCACCCATTCTTACCTGAGAGATGGTCTATTTCTAGGGACTCTGTGGGAAAATTTGGATTTTTATGCAAACAAATTTTCAAATTTTAGGTCATAAAATATATTTTTTGAATATTCACTTCCATTTGAAATATGGTTGCGTGTACTTCACATAATTTTTTTAAATGAAAACCAGAACTGATTGGGCAATTTTTCACATGCAGAAGGAAAAACAAAGCCAAAATGTTGAACGTAGAAGAGATATTAAGCGGCGTGTGAGGTTAGTGCACAACCACAGTGTGCATCTCGCTGGGGTCCCCAGTGATACTCATACAGCCAGGGAACAGTGGCCTCAGAACTTCCAAGTACTGCCTCCAATCGGGAGCCAGCTCGATCAGACAGCTGCAGACACAGCAGGCCACCACCGTACCTCACTTTGAGAAATCTGGATTTATCCAAGTGGCAAATATGCTTCATAAGGATTTACCATGAGTAACAGACTCTTGGTCAGACTTTTGGACTTGTGTTCCCAAAACTAGATTTTTGTACACCTTTCAGCAGCACAGTTGGCTGTAACAAGTGAGGGTCTCCAAAAGGCCCGTCCCACTACCTATATTTATTTGGCTCTCCAAGGAAAAATGAATCATGGGAGTCATAGACTAACAGGTATTAGACATCCTGGGTAGGGAGACTTAATAGTCTTTGTTTTACAAATTGCAAAGTAACAGCTATTGACAGAACTATGTAAGTAGCTATACTTGAGACTTTCTCTGGTAGACCTGTATCATCACACACCCATTTTCACTTTTAAACAAGTTGTCATATTTGAGCTGGCATTTCAGTTGCACAGGTTAGTAATGCCCCTCGTCTCAAAGCTTTACTTCAGTTTCTCTTATGGACACTGGTGTATCGCCAGCTTGCATGAGGACCTAGGAGTCTTGACTTAAACTGGAGTTCTAATCCAGCCCTGACTTCTACCTGTTGTCTTTTGTCACAGCATAAATGGTATTTAAATCTCACCTCAGTCCCACTGCATTAAGGGTATGTTTACAACCCCCACCTCAGCAGTGCCCAGCTGTCCCTGGATGCCACTTCCCTTTGGAGGAGAAAACCAGGGTTTGCCTTGTTTGCCCCCCCCCCTCTGGTGCTCTTTGCCTGAATCACTCATGGCCCAGTTTTTACTGCTCAGGAAGTCCCCAGGGGCCACCTCAGAGTCCTTCCCAGCACAGTTTCCAAGTAGCCATCATCAACCAACAACGCCTCCAGTTGTTGCCAGCCCTGTCATGGCCTTAGATCCTGCCCCAGACACTCCAGATACTCCAGGGCTCTGGATTATGATAGTCTACTTCCATTTAAGTGAATAGAAAATATGGTCTCTTGTAAACCTAGACCAAATGAGCAACTTTTTCTGGAAAAGGCTAAGTAATGCATATTGTAGGCTCTGCCAGCCAACCCATCTGTGTCACAGCTACTAAGATCTAACATTTCAGACAGAAAGCAGCCATGGGAGTTATGTAAATGAATGGGAGTGGCTGAGTTCAAATAAAACTTTATTTATAAAAATAGAAAGAGGGCCAGATTTGGCCCAAGGGTAATAGTTCTCCACCCTTTGTACTAGACTGAGGTTGACTCAAGATCCCAGTGAACAACAAAGGCTCTAAGTAGCAGGCCAAGAAAATGGGCTTTGCAGTGACCACAGGACCAGGAGGCTCAGTGAGTGACTTCTTTTTGAAGAGCTGATCCTAGAAAGCCTTAAGCTTCCTACCACCTAACAGAAATGTGACTCATAGTAAATATGTAATGATAAAAAGCAACACGCCAAGAGAAACTAATACAGAGGTAATGATGCAGTGGACAGTGGCAAACTCATGAGGATCAAAAGCCAATGAGATATAAATGACGGGACCAGCTGCCAAGCTATGGCCCCTCCTGTCTTCATCCTTAATCAGTGTCCTTAGTTTAGTGCACCCACATGTACCCCTAGGTTTGCTTTAGAACCTGATTGTAATGTTCTCCAGCCACATCCTTTTCCAGATCCATCACCATCCTGACCCCTCCCCCCCAGTCTAGTGACCAAGCAGAATGTTCCCAAAGGATGTCAACAGAAAATGGAAGATGTCCCTAGTATCAGGGGAGAATGGAAAGGAAGTCCCCTACAATCACATTCCGTTGACCTCCCCCTGCCATACTTCATGCCATGTACTCTGTGAACTGGGCCACAGAGACACTACTGACAAAGCCCCGGCTTCCTAGCTTCTGTCTTTGGCTATCATATACTAGCATCTCCCTCACCCTGGGAGGGTGGGAGGTGCTCCTCACACCCACTGGTGGAGCCTGAATCTTGATTGATTATTCTTGTGAAAGATGCTGGTATACTTTAGGTGCTCAATAAATTTGTTCAATTAAAAAACATGAGGTTGTCCTATGAATTATTTCTCTCCTGCACTAGGCTGTTGTAGGGGAAATTTACTGATTTTTAGCTCTAGCTTTCTGTCATATGAAACCAAATTTTATCTCCTTGGCCATGCACTCCTTTCCACTCTTCCCATCACTGTCCAAGGGGGCATATTAGTAAGTGCCTGGACTAGTTAATATCTCACATCCCACCCCTTATTTGAATCTTTTCCAAATAAGAGTCCCCCAAATTACTGCACACAGTATCACCATGACAGTATCACCCTTGAGCACCACCTGGTATCTGCTTTAAAGATCTAATGTTTCTTAGACAGTCCCTAACTGATCTGCTAAATCCCACAGAAGTTATCATAGGTCACCTAACTGGGTCACCCATGGAAGTGAATAGGCAGTTGTTATGGTGGGAGGGCTCACAGGGCTATAGAAAATGGGTTCGAGTACTGGGTGCTCCTTGAGCCCCGGGCCCCCAGGCAAGGAAACAGTTACAAGTTTGTTGGACTACTCTTCCAGAAGAGACCAAATATTTATCAAGAAGATATTTGAGCCCATGACCAATGTCTTCAACCCCAAGTAATCCAGGAGAAATACAGGTATCTTTCTACCCTCTACTGGGCCTCTACAGATGATTGATTCTCCAATTCAACAGGTGGGAGGCACCTCAATAGACTCACCTCAATAGACTTAAGATTCCTATAAGACAATTTTAAGGTGAATAAAACTGAGGGTGCTTCTCTCCCTGTGATTCTCAGAACCATGTGGATGGTCAGTTGTGGTCAGTAGTCCCAGGTCTACTGACAGCAGAAGTGACTACAGTCACCTCCTCTGTATCCAAACCTCACTGTCCTGTGTCCCTAGTCCAGACACATATGCCTCTCTATGATTTTCAGGATTCTGCTCTCTGTAGTCTTCTGGAAATACAATTGATCAGACACTACAAAAGCTTGAGAAAATAACAGGAGAAATCAACATGAGTAAAAATAGATTCTCAAAGGAATTACCTCATCACAATTATAACAGAGTCATGAGATGATCAAAAATCTACATTTAAAGATTTTTAGATAAGTTACATCCTTCCAGCTTCTACTGAAGGCTTTTTTCTACTCTTGGGCTTAGAAATTCACATAAATAGGTCTTTTAAGTGACAGTTTCTCTGAGTGAATAAATATGACAAATAGAAATTTGGCATATTTGGTGTGTGTTTTTCTTAAAAACTTAATTTCTAAAGTAGATAGTGATAAACTATTATCCACTGATGAGCTCACTATTAGGAGAATGTAATCATTTTGGGCAGAAGTCAACAGAACATTTGGGATAGGTAAAAAGGCCCTTCCCCAGTGGCCCCGTGACATTCTCCCAAAACTTTGTGACAAGAGTTCTAGCACCAGTGGCTGGAACGGAAAAACACTGCTTCATGGTAGGCTGACACAGACAGACAGACACACACACACACACACACACACACACACACACACACACACACACGGTCTGGTCAGGAGTTATCCATTCCCATTTAAAACACTGATCTTTAAAGCTGAGCATCTGAAACAAGCCACGGAGGCTCTCTTGGGTCAGCTTTGTCGACTAGTTAAGCTCAGAGCGTTCTGGACTGAAACCAATGCGAATGTGCTTCCAACAGTCCACGAAATGGTGGCAGAGACAAATACTTCAGGCCAAACTGAATCACTAAAGGTGGCTGTGAGAACGCGTTGGTGCCACCTGGTGGTCACTGTGCCCAGCAGGTCAACAACTGCCCTTGTCATCGATGAGTCTCCCAGCATAGATAACCAACTTTTACTACTCTGCATTTCATTACTTTATTTCTACAAAATAAAAATAAAAAAATAAAAGCACTGAGCATTACAATGACAGTGGACAATGCAAGTAAAAACAGAGAATCACAACTAAGAATCTAAATATGTCAATCATAAAGAAAAGTGTTAACTGCTATGGATGAATTCCCTCGAAGCCAAAGCAAAAGGAGAAACATGGGTAGCTCTGTAGTTCTTATTCATGATTAAAGAATCTAGTGACATTGTCTTATTTCATTGTAATTTAAGGTGCCAGCCATCACAGCTCCTCAAAGGAAAAGAAATTTTTCTCAGCACTTCCTCATAAGGGGACTTTGACAAGAGATTTTCTTTTTTAGGTCACTGCTTAGCTTCAAGTTGGTCGCTTTTTTTATCATAAGGTGGAATGAATGACTCCTAGCAAAGACACAGCCATGCAATTTGGATGAGCCTCCTGAGACATCTCCAGCTGTGCTGTGGGTAAAGGGAAATCCTGACCCTGACTTAGCCTAGGGGCTGACCTCTGGTCTTGTAAGCCAAATCAAGAAGATGACAAGCAGAGGAGCAGTGGTGAGGCCGACGCCTGTGGGGAACCCGGGGATTCCGACCCACCCTTCTAGTCCAGTGTGTGAGCAGCACAGCGCTAGAATCCCTGCGCCCAAATCCATCCTCTGCAGTTTCAAAGCCAAGTTCGATTCCCTAGCATCACTCTGTCTGTCCTCCCCCACTAGGAAGCTTCAGGTCCTGTGGTAAATGGTTAATCCTCTCACCCTGCCTTCCAGTGAGATTCCTGAGCATTGACAGGAGTGCACGTATGGCTGCTTTCTTCCTTGCTCTAAGTGGATTTGCTTGTTAGGGTAAGGCAGGCATCCACCGAGTCCCAACAATGTGCAGCAGCGGCCTCAGTGCTGGTGCCTCGGCTTTAATGGGAGCGATACCATCTGTCCCTCATGAAGAACTAGCCTCTTACTACCATCACTGCTATTTACCACTTGGTGTAGCTTTTGTAATCCGACTAGTAGATCTACTAGAAGCTACCTCTGCTACAGTTACACTCAATCTCAGCTTTTGGCATCAAAGAGACCTCACTCCCACTCTGATGCTGCCATTCACTGTGTGAACAGTGGACATATTTCTGAGTCCTGTTTTAGCACTGTAAAGTACACCCTACCTTGGGCATTACAAGGACTCATATAGTTGGCGTAAAGGCCCCTGGAGAGCCTGCGGGTATTTAACATGGGCTGACGTCCTTTTTCTTCGCTTATGGAATGGCTACCTGTTCTGTCTCACAGACGCCAACCTCCTCCACAACCTCCGTAATGCAGGGGAGAGTAGAAAAGATTTAGCATCAAAATGCTCCTTACTGTCAGCTGTTGTACCACCACCCCTCAACCATTCCTCTGTGCAAAATTCTACCGACAGGAAGTCAGCTTTGCATTATCATATCCTCCACCTCCCTGACTGACCCTTTCTCCATGTCTATCCACTGCCAGCAAAGCCCGACCCAGGCATGGACGCCGGAAGTTACTTCCCCCACAAGATCTCTACCCCCAGCTTCCCTTCCCCGTCTGCCTCCCCTTTGCTCTCTCTCTCCACTTCTCCTTGTAGCCTACGAAACCTACCCTGCCTTCTCCCTGCTAGCTATTGTCTAGCCGTGTACTGCCCTCCCCCACACACTTCCTCATTGCTTGTGGCTTCCAGAACTTCCTGCTGCACCAGGAGCCAACAGCCTGCACAGCCCGCTGCGCCTGGTCCACCAGGCCTCGAGTTCCCCTGCTTGCACCCCCCAGATGCCTGACCACGCACAGAGCAGGCACCCCACTCAGACCACCCCTCTATGCCAACAGCCCAACTGTCACTCCACCCTTGCAGGCTTTAACTCTCCAAGATGGTTTAACTTACCAAGGCGCCCTCAGCCACCCTCACTCACACCACTTTCACAGACGAACCTTGGCTGGCCAAGAACAGTCTGCTCCCTCTGAGCCTCCATCACCACATAAGCGGTGTCTGGTTCTAACCAGCAAAAACAAATTGAGTAGAATGGATAGGCTGCCAAGGCTGTGCCCTGGGGGTTGGTATGAACAACTGAAAATATAATCCGGTATGTCAGGTTGTACTGATTTGTGCAGCAGAGAGACTCCCCATCCTGTATCCACTCGAAGAGCTACATATCACTTCCTGCAAGATGAGCCCCCCTGTGCCAATGCAAGTAAATCACCTCATGCCCCATGCCAGGGACTCTGGAATTCTCCCTGGCCATACAGCTTGGCAGAAGTTTGGGCTCTTGTTCACCACCTGGGCTGGCTCTGCAGGCCAGTCATGACCTCAGTGCTCAGTGGTCACTGTCAGATGTCCCAGCCCTGCCCCCACTTCCCAGGACCGTCTCCTGTGTCCAGCTCTGCCCTGGCTGGGCACAGTGAACTGGCTGCTGCTGTGGCAGTGGACACTGCTGGCTGCCTGGCTGCAAGTTCAGGACTGATACAACTATAGTGCCATCCCCAGAACTGCACT